CCGATAGCAGCACTCCCGAGAACGGCACAGCCAATACCCGACGCCATCAGTATGCTGGCTTCCAAGAAAAAGTTCCAAACACCTTGATGCGAGCTTGTGCTGGGCAGTAGCGACAAGCAGGTGGAGATGAGACCGACGCAAGTGCCGACGACGGTAGATTGCAGTAGAAGCAACTCCATGTTTGACCGCATCGAATTGATGGCATCTTTCTTGCTGTTAAAAGTGCCCAGGTTTGCCAGGGTGGACATCCTCGTGGACATGTTGAGCTCCGTGTTGCTCTTGAGATTCAACAGCACGGGCACCATGATGAACAGCGCCGGGATGCGGTCAAACGCGGGGTTGTTTTGTATGCTGCCCAAGATGTAGCCGGCGCAGATTGACCCAGCAACCGATACAAGCAGAGCAGGCAGCACCTCGACGGTGAGCTCCTTGATTATCTGGCTCGGGGCCTTTTGCCTCTGCTCGCAGAAGTTGACAATAGAGGCCGACGAGCTTCCGCGGCTGTTGCTGCTGTGGCTACTGTTGCTGCTGATGCTGCTTCTGCTTGGGGTGGCAGAGTCTGTGCTGAAGCGGGCGGTAGGGCTGTTGAATATGCTGGGGCTAGTCTGGCCAGAATGCGGCGAGAGCGGAATCATCTGGTCATCTGAGCTGCATCTGCCCGAAGACGAGACTTTGGACAGCACAGAGAGGTTGGTTTTGCTGTGTGATTTGCTGCCCCTCCCTGTTTTGCCGTGGGCGGAATGCGGGCGCAAGTAGCCGTCATCGTCCTCAAAGGGGTTGGGCATACTGAACGACTCGAGTTCTATATGCTGCTGCTGGGGGGTTTTCGGGCTGGGCTGGCTGTGTACAAGGGTGGTTTCGGTATCCGAAGACGCAGCGGTGGTGGGGATTGGCATAATACAGAGGAAATAAACAACGAGAGCGAAGCAGCGGTTTTGTTAGCGGACAAGAAGCGCTTGGCGGACTTTGCAGAATAACTAGCAGGCGTACATGAAAGAGAGGAACGAAAAAAAGGAGGAGAGGTGGAGGAAATATAGAGGTGCAAAATGAGAATATTAATTAATATAAAAGTAAAAAGGGTGTGGTAAAATTAGAGAGTGCAAGAAAAGAAGGGCACGAGAGCAGCCTGAATTCAACTAAAAGAGAGGGATATGGCCTCGCGCAGCCTGTTCTTTGTGGAGAGTAGGCAATAAAAAGGCTTGAGGACGGCGAGAAAGAGAGAAGGGATACAGGTCCATATTTTGCAGCCAAGAGATGCGGAGGCTAATAATGGCAGGACGAATTAAAAGCGACAGGAACCGTGATGGAGAAAAGCCGAGGCCAAAAGAACAAAAGAAGCATTTTCTTACGTCGTTTAGGAGGCGAGAGAATGCGCCAATGGGCAAAGAAAAAGGCAGGGTGCAGCAGGGGGAAAAGTGTATTAATGTGGGTGTGTGCAGCATGTGTATTGTTGAAGAGAGGTGAATGAAAGAAAGAAAGAAGAGCATAGCGCAAACAGCAGCCGTGTTAGCAGAAGAAAATAGAAAAGGGATCGATAGACCTGATCTAGCATACATGGACCATCAATGTATGCTAGCCAGCAACGCACGCAGTAACCGAAACATTGCTGCACGATTAGCTCCAGGCATGCCTGACGAGAGAGAGGTGCGGCGACGTAAAAGGCGGGAAATGGGCCGACGTGCGGGCAATGGGTGCTATTGCACTGCCGCATGCTTGCTTTATGCCAGTGCAGTTGCAAGCTCGAGAAAATTAGCCGTTTGAGCTTGCCGGCTCTTTGATGAGCTTTTTTTTGTGTGGGGGATGTGGCAAATATCCTGGGCATGTGATTGGGAGAGGTGGCCGATAGCGCATTTTTTTGCTTTTATGCAAGAGCGGGATTCAAGGCAAAAGGCGCAAGCGAAAAAAGATGGAACAGAAAGATTAGCGTTTATGGTCAGCGCAAAATAAGCTAGCCAGCCAGAAGCGCCTATTAGCTCTGCTCGCTTTCTACCAGCTTATTTAATTACACCAGATGGAGAAAGCTGGAAGCTCTGCTTATTAATATTATCGCTGCCTTTTTTCCTCCTTTGCTTTCACACGGTCCCCTGCGACATAAAAGCCAGATAACACACCACTGATCAGCACCCTTCTTGCCTCTCATTACCAACATTCTCTCTCTCCCTCTCTCTTGTACAGTATCTATAAAACAATATCGCCAAGCATATCCTGTAAATGACGATGATGATGCCCCTGCGATCCAGGCATCTCCTTCTGCTCCGGTCGGCCTCGACGCGAAGCATCGCTGCTGCCAAACGGACAGCACCGCCAGGCCTGGCATCCCGCGCACTGTCCAGCAGCGCGCGGCTGAGCAGCGGCAACACGCCGATGGCGTTTCCGTGCATCGACCGGCTCGAGACGCGGCAACGCGACCTGTCCAGCGGCCCCGAGCCAACGTACGAAAAGGTGGTGACGGGCTACAAGGTGTACCGGCACAGCAAGCCGTTTGCGCTGGACCACGGCGGCGTGCTGCCCGAGTTCCAGCTGGCCTACGAGACCTGGGGCCAGCTGAACGCCGACCGCTCAAACGCGATTCTGATCCACACCGGGCTTTCTGGCAGCTCGCATGCGCACAGCCACGAGCTCAACGAGCGCGCCGGGTGGTGGGAGAAGTTCATCGGGGCAGGCAAGGCCATCGATACAGACAAGTTCTTTGTTATTTGCACAAACGTGCTGGGCGGCTGCTACGGATCGACGGGCCCATCGTCGGTGATGGACACGGCGACGGGCGAGCGCTACGCCACGCGCTTCCCGCTGCTTACGGTCAACGACATGGTGCGCGCGCAGTTCCATCTGATTGATTCGCTGCAGATTGGCAGGCTCCATGCCAGCGTAGGAGCCAGCATGGGCGGCATGCAGTCGCTGTGCGCCGCAGCCCTGCACCCCGAGCGTGTCGGGCGGCTGATCTCGATTTCGGCATGTGCGCGCTCGCACCCGTACTCTATCGCCCTGCGCTTTGCCCAGCGCCAGGCATTGCTGGCCGACCCCAACTTCAACCGCGGCTTCTACTACGACGGCGTTTTGCCGCACGTTGGCATGAAGCTGGCTCGGTCCATCGCCACAGTCACGTACCGCTCGGGGCCAGAGTGGGAGCTGCGCTTCGGTCGCCGTCGCCGCGCCCCCGATCAGCCGCCGGCCATGTGCGCGGACTTTTTGATCGAGACGTACTTGGACCACCAGAGCGAGGGCTTTTGCACACAGTACGACGCCAACTCGTTGCTGTACGTTTCCAAGGCCATGGACATGTTTGACATCAGCCGATCGGTGACGGAGCGACTGGCCCGTCAGCGCGCACAAGCCATTGACGCCAGCGGATGCACCGCCACGTCCTGCGCACCATCGCAGGCAGGCGTGTGTCTCGAAACAAGCGAGCACCCTGCGAGCAGCGTCGGCCAGTCCGCCGAAGAAACCGGCGACGAGATCAGCGAGGACTTGGTCGCCGGTGTGCGCAACGCCATGCAGCCCACGCTGGTGCTGGGCGTGCAATCCGATATTCTGTTCCCCGTGCGCCAGCAACGCGAGATCGCCGAGATCCTGCGCAAGGCCGGTAACAAGAACGTCACGTACTATGAGCTCGACGCCATGTACGGCCATGACACGTTCCTGATCGACGTTGTCAACGTTGGCGCCGCCATCAAGGGCCACTTGGAGAACGCCATCGAGCAAGCATAGATGCCGCCGCGACGCAGATATGAGCTAGGCGCCTTCCTTTCTGTCGACTGGAGTTTTTGATCAAACTGGTAATTAAATTATGCTGTATTGCAAACCAAGAAGGGCGGGTGACGTTGCCATCCGAGCCAGTCGGGGCACCGTGAATGAGAGGGGGAGCTTTGCAGCAGACGGCTCGCTCTCACAAAAAGTAGTTGGCGTCCTGCACAGCGGGCAACGGCGGCTGAGTCTGTGCGGGACGCGGGGCAGCATCAAAGGTGATAAAGTCACGCTTAAGGAACGGGTCAATGGTCAAGATACTGGCCACATTGCCGCACCGATAACAATAATTGGGAGCCGACCACACAGTAGACAGCCGGTCGTTGAACTGGACCAAATACCCCTCCATGCACAGCTGATGGGCCCTTAAGACATGAGACATGCCATTAACATACAAAAACCTATCCACCACGCCCTGGCCAAAAGTGTACCCAGCACCACGCTGAGACCTACCAAACATGAAGATCTCTGGATCCGGATCCGACCACAATACATCAGCCAAGGGACCCTCATGAGGCACCTCCACAAACCTATCCAATGCTCTCAGTTGATCCACATGCACCACCGAAGGTCCTAATCCTCCATGCACGCAAAACACACTATCCTCCACAACCACGCCCAGAACTAGATAGTCAAACACATCCGTAAACTCTCTCCATACTTTTGCCCCTCCGTATCTCTGCTGGCATTCCGAATAAAACCCATACGTCTTTGTTATATTGCGGGACTCGTGGTTCCCTCGAAGCAAATGAATCCTACTAGGATACCGCAGCTTCAAACACAACAGTAAACTTATAGTCTCCAAACTATGGTTCCCTCGGTCAACATAGTCCCCCAGAAATAAATAGTTTGTCGATGGACAGGGTCCGCCTATTGCAAATATCTCGAGCACATCGGGAAACTGCCCGTGCACATCCCCAACCACCGTTACTGGCGCTTGTATATTCACCACATTTGACTCTTGACTCAACACTTCTTTACTCAGCTCACACAACTCTTGCACCTCTCCTTCGCTCAGCAACACGCCTTTGTACAGGCGCTCAATACAGGAATCCACATCTAGCACCATTCCAAATAGCTATTTTTAATTGCAAATTGTAAATAGTGTTGAAAAAATATACAAATGAATGAATAAAGCAATGCGCAAACACACCTGGAACAAAAAAGAGTAAAGGAGGTGAATGTTCGCATACCCGCCTGACCTGCCTCACCTTTTTTCTCTCCCACGCTGCAAATAAAATAAATTCCAAAAATTTGGGCTTAACCGGGAATTGAACCCGGGACCTCTCCGACCCGAACGGAGAATCATACTGCTAGACCATTAAGCCACCAGTGGAACTCATCCACTTTCTAATTCTGATTTTGTGTTGGACATCAGACAAGAAAAGCAACGCGCATTGCGGGACATGCGCAATAAACCACCTGACGTTGTATCCGCACGACGC